CAGACATTTCTCAGACTGTTTTTTTTTCTTTTTTTTTTAATAAATCCGTTGGTTGTGTACTGATTGATACTTCAGTCTGGGAGAACAAGATTTATTTCAGTACTAGTTGTTATTAAAGCTTTGAACAAACTTCCAGTAATTGCAAATACTCTTATTTCGGTGCTTTGTGTCTATTGTCTTAATGTAAGTTTTTTTTTGTGTGTCTCGTACCGATCTTTTGAGTTAATCTTATTGCAATTGATTTGTGCAGGTTGTTCTTATATTGTACTGTTACGCCATTGTCCCAGCTTCGGGAAGGGTTGAGCGCTCACAAACATGTTCTTGTACTGTTATACCACTGTCCCAGGTTAGGGGGCGGGTTGGGCCGGATCCCGCTAACATGTTTAACCCCGCCACAATGATTCTGTATGTATGTGCCTGTCCCAAGTCAGGAGCCTGTAATTTAGTAGTTGTCGTTTGTTGCTATGTTCATGATGTTACATATTTGTTTTTCGTTCATTTTTTTGTACATTAATTAGACCGTTAGTTTTCTCGTTTGAATTGTTTTACATTTGTGATTTCGGGGCCTTTTATAGCTGACTACATGTATGCGGTATAGGCTTTGCTTATTGTTGAAGGCCGTACGGTGACCTATAGCTGTTAATTGCTGTGTCATTTGGTCTCTTGTGGAGGGTTGTCTCATTGGCAATCTTCGTTTTTATATCAACCCTGCCATATTCTTTGTGTGCCTGTCCCAAGTCAGGAGCCTATAGTTTAGTTGTTGTCGTTGGTTCATGCCTCGACTCATATTTGATATTTTGTAAATTATTTTGTTATGTATAATTAGGCCGTTAGTTTTTTCGTTTGAATTGTTTCTCACACTTTTCACGTCGAGCCTTTTGTAGACGACTTTTAATACAGTATTGGGTGTTGTCATTGTTGAAGGCCTTAATTACGGTTGCCTATAATTGCTTACATCCACTTCATATTTGAACTCCGGTGGAAAGTTGCCTCCTTAGCAATCATACATCTCTTCGTTTTTATATTATATACCTGACTTTTAAACTCGTGTTTTCCTGAACCGAGTCCTGAACATGCATGACATACTTGTCACTGGGCGTTTAAAATAAGCAACAAACAATCAATCGATTTAAACTTGTGTTAAATAAGAAGAAAAAAACATTTGATATTTATTTATGTATTGGGGTGGGGGACAGGAGGATTTCATATATGAATATGGTTGCCTGGTAAGAGCTGAAAAATAGGCATAATTAGCGACAGATTAAAAAAGTTAATAATGCCCTCTTCCCTTCCCCATTCTTCATCCATAAATTTAAACTGACCACCACGGAATAGCCCAACTTAGTGTTGAAAGTAGCGTTAAACACCAATCAATCAGAATCCCTTCCCTAGAATATCAAATAGTTGTCCCTTAACTGTTGTTGTCCGTGTAGTTAATATATTTATCCAGCTTATCGTCCTACAGGGATGTCCTACTAAGACTGTCATACCATAACAACTTTATAACACGGCTCACATTCTAATATATCTGCATTCATAAATTTATTAATGTCATTTAGACTAAACGACGCCATATTTGTTATGTGCCTCTGCCGTCTAAACTACCTATCAAAAAAGAAGAGGTGGAAGAGAGCCAGAAGATCTTCCCTATTCAAAAAAATAGAAATGGACCTCTTCTGGTTTACTACCAAAGAACAAAAAAACACGCCCCTGCGTTTCACTTGATACGGTTCACTCAGTTAAACATTTTAAATCATTTGTTGTCAGATATCGATAATGCTCTAAAGCTTTTAAAAAGTACCCATGGGAATTTTTCTGTAATCAATCATTCATTGACTTCTCATGCAACCAGACAAATTTAGCCTTTAGGTCAACAATTTTAAGTAACCTAATTGGTCTTCTTTACACTTACAATGACCAACTTTAAGGTTATGTCCTGATCTAAAATTTATTCCTGTTTATGCATATTTCAAAGAAACTGTTAAAACTGAAAGGCTCATTGAGCAAAAGAACATTTCTGTATGTAACTAACTAACTAATTTTATTAAGTATAAAAATCCAGTACAAAAGGATCATCGCTGAAATACATGAAAACATAGAAAAACAAAACAAAAATAAAACATAGAGACAACAATTGTGACACTTATAACAAACAATAGACAAAACAACCACTTCAATATTATGCAATTATTCCCACTGATGAATTTCTAATCAAAATACATTTGTCTATATTTAAAAAAAATCTGATGAGAACATCAGTCTCCAAACAGTTCATTAAATATCTAAATTTATCAAAATTATCTAAGTTACAAAAACACGGTATAATATTGATAATGTCATCATTAAACTTTTTCCTCCGTCTTTATAGAGGTTACATTAATAGGTATGTATATAGTAGGTTTTTTAAATGGAATCCTGATCTTCTAACTAATAAAAAGATCAAGCTTGTCAGAAAAATATCAAGAAAATGTGTTATATATAACTTTTAAAAGTGTTTACAGTTTTACTTCTCAAATTACTTGTTGTCTGTCAGTCTAATACAAAGTAAGTTTAAATTTTAGATTGGCATGTTCTTATCCTTAATATACATTTATTTTGCCACTGAACTTTAAACAGTACCAATCTTTTTTATCAAAAACCAAGAAAATCACTACAGTTTGAAGTAAAGGGTATAATACTTATGTCATGTATGTTCTTCAGCTGAAAGTCAAAGTGAGGCCATCGACAAGCAGCAAAAAATCTCACATCACTCATTGGCCAGTTAGTATCAATACTCTTCCTTTTAAATTCTTTCCCACTGGATGTTAAACAAGCAACAATCAATCAATTATATAGTTTTGTTCAATAATCAAACTACCTGTACAAGTAAATGTATCTTCATCAGACAATGTGGGTAAGTCTGATTCAAACTGGTACATGAGTCTACCTGCTCTCAATTAATGGTATATTGAAAGACATTAATTTGTTTACTGAATTTTTTTTTAGCTTATCTAGCCCAAAGGGCCAAGGGAGCTTTTCTCATCACTTGGCGTCTGGTGTCGTCTGTTAACTTTTACAAAAATCTTCTCCTCTTAAACTATTGGGCCAAATTTAACTAAACTTGGCCACAATCATCATTGGGTTATCAAGTTTAAAAAATTTGTCCCATGACCTTGTCTGTCTACCAAGATGGCCAACATGGCTTAAAATAGAACATAGGGGTAAAATGCAAGTTTGTCTATTATTATGAAAACCGTTATAGATAGAGAAAATCTGACTAGGGCAAAAATGTATAGAATTTTAAGCTCTACCAATTGTCCGTATACGTCAAAAATGTCAGACGACTTCTTATAGGAGTTATTGCCCTTAAATGACAAATTTTACCATTTTTTTTCATTTTTATACGACCGCAAAAAAAATTTGGGGTCGTATATTGCTATCACATCGGCGTTGTCATCATCAGCGTCTTCCGAAGACATTTGGTTTCCGGACGATAACTTTAGTTTAAGTGTATAGATCTCTAAATCTATGAAATTTAAGCAAAAGGTTCAATACCACAAAAGGAAGGTTGGGATTGTTTTTGGGGGTGATGGTCTTAACCATTTAGGAATTAGGGGCCAAAAAGGGGCCCAAAACAAGCATTTTTCTTGATTCAGGACAATAACTTGTGTATAAGTATTTTGATTGCTCTGAAATTGTACCACAAGGTTCAAATTACCACAAGTAGAAGGTTGGGATTCATTTTGGGGGAAATTGCCCAAACTGTTCAGGAATTAGGGGCCAAAAAGGGTCTAAAACAAGCATTTTTCTGGTTTTCAGACAATAATTTGTGTTTAAGTGTATTGATGTCTCTTAAATTGTACCACATTATACAAAAAGAAATTTTCTTCAAATGTTATTTTTTGGAAAGGGGAGGGGGGCTAAAATAAAAAAAAAAAAATAAAAAAAATTTGGGGGGTAAAAAAAATTTTTTTTTGGGGGGGGGGGGGGGGGGCAATTTTTTTCCACAAGATTTAAGAAATTAAAAAGAAAATTTCTTCAAGGGTAAAAACAAATTTTTTTTTTTGGGGGGGGGGGGGGGATTTTTTTTCTCTCAAGATTTAAGAAATTGTCAATTTTCCAAAGAAAAATTTGGGGTCACAAATTATTTTGTTAATTCTTTGTATATAGTCTGAAAACAGATTTACTAAGTATTGTGCAACAGCACAGTGTATTGCACAAAAGCAAGAAATCTTCAATTGAATATAAATTCAGATCATATAATCAATTTCAAATTCTTTGACTACATTTATTCTGTGTAAGAAACCTATAATGTGTCAAATATTTAATTACAATCTAAATTCAGACCTGTATCAAGCTTGAATATTGTGTCAATTTTTGCCCCTACTGTTCAGGCTTGGACCTCTACCGTCGTATCCAGCTGCGCTCGGCGGAGCAGTTTATTGCCTATTATCTTGAAAATTTTAATAGATAGAGAGAAACCTAAAATACACAAATGATCAGCAAGACAAGTTCTACAATTAAGTCTAACATAGTCCAAATTGTCAGTCGACTCCTTATTAGAGTTATTGCCCTTTGATGACGATTTTTACCATTTTTTTGCATTATTGCCTTATATCTTAAAATTTGTAATAGATAGATAGAAACTTAGATAAGCAAAAATGATCAACAAGACAAAATCTACAATTAAGGCAATATTGAGAAAATCGTCCGACGACTCCTTATTGAGTTATTGCCCTTTTAATGACGATTTTTACCATTTTTTTTTGCGTTTTGCCTTATATATACAATACAGATTATAAAAGATAAAAATAGACACTTTAAATCACAGAAATGATCAGCAAGGCAAGATCTACTAACAAGTCAAATTTTGCAGATATAGTTAGTAGACTGTCACTATTTATAGAGGTGATTGCCTTTAAATGAGGATTTTTTTTACCTTCTTTTGTGTTTTGAGCAAAAACTAAAGAAGATAGAGAGAAACTAAACAGACTTAATTATCAGCAATACAAGATAAAAAAAACCCAGTGAATTGAATTCTCGTCTACAATGTTGGAGAATGTCCTTTGTTGAATATGCACATAGACCATGGTGATCTACAGATGCCTTTTAGATCTGGAGCCTCTGGTTTCAATTCCTCTTCAAAAAGAATTTATGTTAATTTTCTTGTGGTATTTTCAAGGTCTAAAATGGCCAGGGCAGCTGCATGTTACACAGACAATGATGTTGAGAGCAGCATAGAATATTGTGATACACATAGTGTTAAATTACACAATGTTGTAGCAAACAAGAAGGATGGAACTTTAAATGAAGATATAAACAATCCTTGTTCTGTTCTAGTTGAAAATGAAGTGTGTCATAATACTCAATCACTTGAATCATGGCAAGAAATTACAGATAGTGGACATTTTGGACCTGTATATACTTTTACACACAAAAAATCTAATGTAAATGAATCTAAAAATCAACTAGTTCCAACTGAAAATGGATCGTCAGCACCAATTCAAATTCCAAACTGGAACCAGAAACAAGTTTCAATTTTCAATGATTCAACTGAAAGCAGACAATTTGCTGAAGATGTAGGATCAATTTCAACTTCCAAAGAAGGCAAATTGTGTCTAACAAATTCAAATGTTAGCCCAGAAAAGATAAATCGTGCATTGAATGTTGCAAATACAGTTCAGCAGCAGTTATCATGCATATCACAGGAAGGTAAGTGATAACTATAAAGGCCTTAATCCTTGAGTTCTTGTTGTTAAATTTAAAAGCCCCTATGTTTACTAGCTGTTTAGGAGAATGTTCATAATCTTCCTTTAAAAAAGTTTAACAAAAATACTGAACTCGAATTCAAAAAGGGGAAGTCCATGAAAACTGACAAAATCAAACGCTAAAAACAACTGCCATATTCCTGACTTTGTACAGGCATTTTTAAAAAAAAATTAAGAGTTTCAACCTGGTTTTATAGCTAGCTAAACCTCAAACATGCATGACAGTTGTTTATAGTTCTGTAACATTGACAAAATTGGGTAAGCAACCCAAACAGACATATTGGGATAATGTGACAATAATTGGGACCCAGCAGCTAAAACTGTGTAACAAAATTGAGAATGGAAATGGGGAATGTGTCAAAGAGATCAACAACAACCCGACCAAAGAGCAGAAGACAGCCAAATGCCACCAACAGGTATTCAACACAGCTAGAAGATCCCTCACCCGGAGGTAGGCTTCAGCTGGCCCCTAAACAAAAATGTGTACTAGTTCAGTGAAAATGGACGTCACACTAAACTCCAAAACATAAAAGAGGGGCGAAAGATACCAGAGGGAAAGTGAATATACTTTATATATCGTGCAAGAAGTTTGCGGCATAATTCCGAACACTGGTAAGCCCATTTGCTGACCAAGTTCATCTTTCAGCCACTTTGCGCCCCATGATTTGCCTCCACATGTAATGCTCAAAACTGACTGGGACTTGAAACATTTGTTACTTTCTTTTTCCCTTCCTTTCCTTTGTTAGCATGAAACCTTCATCTACAAAACCTTATTTTCCTGCCTGCGAATCCATGTTGTATTTGAAAACGTCACAATATTCAAACGTCATGCTAAACCATCGCACCTCAGCGAAAGGACCATCGTACTTCTGCGTGGACCATCGCAGTTCAACGTGACCATCGTACTTCAGCGTCCCCATTGCACCTCCGAGTCCTATAAATGAACTAAAGTTTAATCTATTTTTTAACCAATTTGGTGAAGATTTTAGAGTCCTCATTTTTTATATTTGATTTGATTTTGTATGCTTTTAAACATATTTTTTACTTTGTAGTTTCATGTATGTACGAAATTGTACACATAAATGCATGATGTTCTATATCATAACCTATGACTTTGAAAGGTTAACACAGGCATATCAGTTACTTGATATTTCTCTATTGTAGGTACATTAGGAACCTGATATTTCTCTATTGTAGGAACATCAGTTACTGGTACCTGATATTTCTCTATTGAAGGTACATCAGTCACCTAATCTTTCCCTTATGGATGCGGCCTGTTATCTATTTCTTGCATGAAGAGATATTTCTCGTATCACACTGCAAGGAGTGTGATACGAAAAAGTGATATGAAAATCTGCGTTAATTTGATTGGCTTATCCAGCATCATGAGACGATATAACGACATTTCCATTGGCTATTCGTTAGGTCATTGATGACTTTCAAAGGTTAAGAGGATATACATTACTTCCATGGCAACAGACATATTTGATTTCTTCAATAATACACAAAACAATCACACTTTTCACCTGAAAATCTTCTTTTTGTCAACCATCATGACCATGTCAAATTTTATTATATTCTGCATGAAGCGTACCAAAAATTTTAAATTGTCTGATGTTAAAGTTTGACACCGGAACAGGACATATGACGTGATACTTGTATGTGCAAAAGACTCGATCAACTATTTGCGGAATTTTTAAGTTAAGGTAGATCCATGGAATTTTTAACAATTTGTCAAAATGTAATTTATATCATGCTTTTTCAAATATATAATAAAAAGTATGGGTCACCAGGCTTTTTTCACGCTACAGGTTGTGCAAAATTGTCAGATTTTGTATAGATTATGCATGGAAAACCCGATTTTGTGAGATAAAAAGAAAACTACACTATAGAATTTTAAGATAAAATATGAGAGGATAGCTCTAACAATATGCTTTCAGATAAGAAAAAGAAAAAATGGGGTCACCAGACTTATTTTCTTGCTACATAATAAAAAATTCACAACACTTTCTATTGTAAAAGTTACTTTATCTGAGTTATTTCCCCTTATATGGCAAAGTTGAAAAAAATGAATCAACAAAAATATTCTTTTTTTTGTAAAATACAGCCGTAAATATGATAAAACACATAATTTTCTATATTAACATGAAAAGTCTTACACATAAATTACATACTGCTCTCGAAATTTGAAAATTTCATTAAAGATCTAGACCAATTAATATTGTTATCTGCTATTTCAAACCCAAGCTGGAGGAAGACACCCCAGCTACCTTAACACAACGAGAGTGTTGACCATAAGAGAAATAGATTAAGCAACTTGTGAGAATTGGATATTGCTTGATATCAACTCGAGTTATTTATATATTGAAATTGAATAACTTGAGTTGATATCAAGAGATATCCTATTCTCACTTGTTATGAAACCGATAATTCTCTATTGAAGGTACATCCGTAACTTGATATTTCTCTATTGTAGGCACATCAGTAACCTGATATTTCTCTATTGTAGGTACATCAGTTACCTGATATTTCTCTATTGTAGGCACATCAGTTACCTAATATTTCAGGTACATCAGTAACCTGATATTGCTCTATTGTACAAAATGTAGGTACATCAGTTACATGATATTTCTCTATTGTAGGTACATCAGTGACATGATATTTCTTTATTTTAGGTAAATCAGTGACATGATATTTCTCTATTGTAGGTACATCAGTGACATGATATTTCTCTATTGTAGGTACATCAGTTACATGATATTTCTCCATTGTAGGTACATCAGTTACCTGATATTTCTTTATTTTAGGTACATCAGTGACATGATATTTCTCTATTGTAGGTACATCAGTGACATGATATTTCTCTATTGTAGGTACATCAGTTACATGATATTTCTCTATTGTAGGTACATCAGTTACCTGATATTTCTTTATTTTAGGTACATCAGTTACCTGATATTTCTCTATTGTAGGTACATCAGTTACCTGATATATCTCTATTGTAGGTACATCAGTTACATGATATTTCTCCATTGTAGGTACATCAGTTACCTGATATTTCTTTATTTTAGGTACATTAGTTACCTGTAAAATTTTCAATATAGGGACATCAGTGATGTCAGTAACCTGTTATTTTTCTACTGTAGGTACATCAGTAACAAACCAGATTACTGTATTGCAGTCTGATAATATCAACTTTTCTACAGGTATGATAGGCATTATAAATGAAGAAATAGATAATCATGCGCTATATATATATATAGATATTTCGTCCCTCTCTTATATATATACTGTGCATTTGTGGATATGTCCTTTTTGGGGTATTGAGAGAAAAAAGGATTTTCGTAGATACTTAAATTCAAGGATTTGACAAACCTACATTCAATAGATATAAGAAGATGTGGTATGAGTGCCAATGAGACAACTCTCCATCCAAGTCAAAATTTATAAAAGTAAACCATTATAGGTCACAGTACGGTCTTCAACACGGAGCCTTGGCTCACACCGAACAGTAATCTATAAAGGGCCCCAAAAATTACTAGTGTAAAACCATTCAAACGGTCTAATCTATATAAAAAACGAGAAACAAGAAACACTTATGAACCACATCAACAAATGACAACTACTGAACATCAGATTCCTGACTTAGGACAGGTGCAAACAAATGCAGCGGGTTTAAACGTTTTAATGGTACCAAACCTTCACCCTTTTTCTGAAACAATAGTGTAACATCACAACATAGAAAGACACACTATAAAATATCAACTGAAATAGCTTAACTCAATCAAAGGACATATTAACACCATTGAACATACACTGAACAAAAAATTTGACCTATGATACAATGTAAATACAAAATAAATTAACTAAGGGAAGAATAATAAAAGTAACATGTTATATTGGTATGAAATGTTAAACAATTAAAGAAAAACAATATGCTCGAACAAAAATATCAGCCATTTGCAATAACTTTAAACACAGGTAAATGAAAATAATTTTATTGTTAGGTATATGTGTACAGTTCCAATAGAGAAAGGAAATATTTTTACAAAATAAATAATTTTGATGTTCATAGTACGAAGTGAAAATTTATAGTAATACCAAACACTTATCAAAGCTGGTATATAGACCAGATATAACCCTGAATAACATTAAATAACAAAAAAGCAATACAATTAGTATCAACAGGTCAAATAAACAAGAAAGTACGATTTGAGAGTACTCGCAGTTACTGACAGCTAGTTAAAAGCCAAAACAATTAATAATAAAAAATCATGCATCAGAGACTAAAATCAACTATAACACATCCCAGGGATTTAGTATTTTAACGTCATGGACAGTCAAAGAAAACATGACTAGTGCAATGCCAAAAATAAATGTATCGACAGACAGTAGGATAGTTAGGAGTTTAACCTCTTTATAGATCAAAACGAACGTGGGTGTGTCTTTATACATCCCGTTTGAAAAGAATATATAGGAAATTTGAAAAGAATCCAAGGAAATTTCAAGCCTATATAGGAAATTTGTATTTCTTTAAACACTTTAATTTGTGGTCCATATACACACATGAAATCAACAAAAATGAGTACCATGCCAAAAAAAAAAAAAAAGAGAAAAGAAGAGACTTAAAGAAATAAAGATGAATTTAATTTTCAATCAAATCAAAAGTAATGAATTTATAAATAAAAGAAAAAGAAAAAGTTTTTTTATGATATTAATATTTGATTTTATCATGTTTATCAATGTCAACAATATAAATGGACAAAGAGCATTAACTATTTTGGACAAAATCATGCAAACACTGCATCGAGTGTGATACGATATTTATCCACTCGAGACAGCTAAATTTTCAAATTTAAAACGCAAGGCTCGCCGAGCGTTTTAAATATTTAAAATTTAACTGTCGAGAGTGGATAAATATCATATTACACAAGATTTGGTGGTGGAATCTTTTTCTCTAATGATTTTCAAACCATATGCAGGCAAACTTATTCCGTCTTTTCGAATGATCTGTAAAAAGATGTGTTCTTTCTATGTGACGTCATCAGGCATGGTCGCCTTTTTTCATGCCGTCACAATAGGAAATTCAGAGGAAAGCAAGTAAATTTGACGTCATAATCGGATTTTAACCAATGAAGAACTGAGATCGAACGAACCACACGTTGATTAAATTTTTTTTATACAATGGGTGCAGGAAGGGATAAATTGACGAAGAATTAGAGAAAATATTTTTTATAACTATGTTTAAGAACTCTTGCCTGAAGTAAGTTCACTGAACTGACATGTAATGTCTGTATGGTCCCAAAAATTTCAAATTTATTATCATAATTCAATTGTTTTGCTTTGTACATGTTGAAATTGAAAAAAAACATTGAATTTTTATAGGACCGCAAAAAAAAATTTTTGTGGTCGTATATTGGTATGACGATTAGGCGTCGTCGTCATCGTCATCGTCCGAAGACACATTAGTTTTCGCACTCTAACTTTAGTTTAAGTGAATGGATCTCAATGAAATTTAACCATAAGGTTCAATACCACAAAAATGGAAGGTGGGGATTGATTTTTGGGGTTATAGTACCCACAGTTAAGGAATTAGGGGCCAAAAATAAGCATTTTTGTAACTTCCAGACATAACTTGTAAGAAAGTGTATGGATCTCTCTGACATTGTACCACAAGGTTCCATATCACAAAGGGAATGCTGGGATTGATTTTGGGGGTAATTGCCTCCAAATTTTAGGAATTAGGGGCCAAAAAGGGGCAAAAAACAAGCATTTTTCTAGTTTCATGACAATAACTTGTGTGTAAGTGTATGGATCTTTATGAAATTGTATCACAAGGTTTCATATCACAAAGGGAATGCTGGGATTGATTTTGGGGGTAATTGCCTCCAAATTTTAGGAATTAGGGGCAAAAAAGGGGCAAAAAACAAGCATTTTTCTAGTTTCCTGACAATTACTTGTGTGTAAGTGTATGGATCTTTATGAAATTGTACTACAAGGTTCCATATCACAAAGGGAAAGCTGGAATTGAGTTTGGGGGTAATTGCCCAAAAAGTTTAGGAATAAGGGGCCAAAAAGGGGCCAAAAATAAGCATTTTTCTAGTTTCCAGACAATAACTTGTGTTCAAATGTATGGATCTCTCTGAAATTGTACTGCAAGGTACCATATATACCACAAAGGAAAGGCTGGGATTGATTTTGGGGGTAATTCCCTCAAAATTTTAGTAACTAGGGGCCATAAAAGGGCAAAAAAACAAGCATTTTTTCTAGTTTCAGGACAATAACTTATGTATAAATGTATGGATCTGTCATGGTGTGTTATTTGGCTTATATTTGTGTTAGTGTTATTTTGGATTAAAAATATGTTTTATTTTTTAGAAAGAAAATTTTAAGTTTGTATATTGTAACATTTTTGTTTAATTTTGGTTTAATTGATTTTTACCTATGCTGTGGCATTAATACTTGAAGTGTCACAGTTTGCTCAAAGCACTTTGTTTTGAAATATTAATTGTAATTAGCATATGTCATTTTGAAAGTTTAAGATTTTATCAAAACATTATAGGATTAGGCTTTGTTAATTAAATAAAATTGAGAATGGAAATGGGGAATGTGTCAAAGAGACAACAACCCGACCACAGAACAGACAACAGCAGAAGTTTATTTTTGCTAATGAGAGTAATATTTACATGTCGAGTATTATTGATCTATTTTTGGATTTAGTATAAATAGCGTTCTGAAATTTAGGAAAATCAGTCACCTTTCGGAAACCTTAACTTGCACTGCTAAAGTCTATTATACTGGATCTGTAAGACTGTTGATCAGTCTACCAGTTGACTTTGTAGTGTTTAGACAAAAATGTATTTTTGACTCACCTTTTATTTTTGAGAAAACTTTAGAAAACAGTCAGTGTTTCGGAACCGTAACCTCTCACTACTCACGTCATGATACTGGACCTATAAGACTGTCTACCAGTCTACCAGTTGACTGTGTAGTGTTGAGACAAAATTTATCTCTGACTCATAATTTAACTTTGGAAAATACTTTTGGGAATCTTTTATTTTTTAGACTTTTACATTTTGATTTTGAGATTAAGTTCATTTTATGATTTAGTAGTTTTGGCATTTATTTTACATTGTAAGGAGAAATAGTTTTACTTTGGAGTTGATATTTAGATTTTTACTTTGTACTTTAATTATTATTATTATTTGGCATTGTTTACTAATTGATTGTTATCATCATTCATCAAAATTGTTATCGTTAATTAAATTATGAAAACCTTCCTCGCGTTTTAGCTATGCCTATCAGAACATTAAGTCTAGCGATAGACTGACCCCCTGTCCCTTGGTTCCAGCACATACGAGTTAGCTCCCCCTTATCTAACAGTGCTCTGTGGGACCTTGGTGACAGATCTTTATGAAACTGTACTGCAAGGTTCCATATCACAAAGGGAAAGCTGGGTTTGAGTTTGGGGGTAATTGCCCTAAACGTTTAGGAATTTGGGGCCAAAAAGGGGCCAAAAAACAAGCATTTTTCTAGTTTCCAGACAATAACTTGTGTTCAAGTGTATGGATCTCTCTGAAATTGTACTGCAAGGTACCATACCACAAAGGGAAAGCTGGGATTGAGTTTGGTGGTGATGAATCATAAGGGGGTTAAAAAAATTGGTGGTCGTATCAAGCTGCGCCCCAGCGGAGCATTTTATTCAATTTGAATTGATTCTTAATATTTCATAGATATACATTACAGACCAAAGGTGATGAAAATCACACTGAAATGATAGAATTCAAGTTCTCCTCTTATTTTATTAGATTTTTTCATTTATCTCCTTTTGAACTTGAAGAAAAATGCCATTGAATTTTGCATATGGATAGTTCTTTCTTATTTAACATAAAATGTTTGAGCCAGGAATCCTGGACCAATCTCTACTAACTTCACTTCAGTTAAGAACCAGGCATTGAAGAATTAAAGTGACCAGATGCATTTTAGCTTACCTGGCCCAAAGGGCCAGTGTGAGCTTTCCCAATCACTTGGTGTCCGTCGTCTGTCGTATGTCATCCATTGTCTTCGTTGTCAGTTTACTTTAAAAAAAAATCTTTTCCTCTAAAACTACAAATCTAAATTTAACATAACATGGCCACAATCGTTATTTGGGTATCTAGGTAAAAAAAATTGTTCGATGACTATTAGCGTTTCCTCTTAAACTGATCTAATCACAAACTTAACATGTAAATTATGCAAAACATTCAAAGTCAATAGACCATGGCTGAGGGGGCTGAGCCAAATAATTTCCATGGAAATGAGATGTGTCAATGCTATTGCTTCTACATACCAAATATCATTGACCTACCACTAGTGGTTCCTCTTAAACTGACCTAATCACAAACTAATACATGTTAAGTAAACAAAAGTTTCAAAGTAAAAAAACCATGACTGAGGGGGCGGATTGAATAATCTCCATGGAAATGAGATGAGCCAATACTAATGCATCTACATACCAAATAACGTTGACCTACCACTAGTGGTTCTTCTTAAACTGACTTAATCACAAACTAATACATGTAAAGTAAGTAAAAGTACCATGATTGAGGGGACAGGACCAAATAATCTCCATGGAAATGAGATGTGCCAATGCTAATACAACTGCATACCAAATATCATAGACCTACCACTAGTTGTTCTTCTTAAACTGACCTAATCACAAACTAATACATTGTTGACGCTGTCGACGCCGTCAGAAACAGCATACCTAATTCTCGCTTTTTGACTCCATCAAGGTGAGACAAAAATTACTAGTGAGTAGATTTCAATTCAAGAGTATATATATATGCTAATAAAATTCTAGTTCAAACCAGTGTGTAAAATGAAGCCACTGAAGTGAAAAATTATATGTTTCACTGCTTTGCTAATTAAAGAATTTAAGCCTTAAAATAAACCAAATATGGTGATGTTTATCTGTACTCAGAATTTTTAGGGGGTGAAAAAAAACTGGTCATATTTTTCAATTCCTTCTGATAAACCTTAAAAACAAAATACAAAATATCAGCATAAAGTCAAATTCTGAAATCTTAACATTGAAATAAGCACAAGTTGGACAATGCAGGACAATACACAATAATGTAATAAATTTGATAATTGTGATACATATATAATATTGATTAGTTTATTTGGTCAGCTTTTTTCTTAAATATAAGTCAATGTAAGTACATAATAAATATACTGATTATGAATAAAAATATTCTTATCTTTTAATCATGTAATTGTTATATGAACAGCTGCTCCTGTGGAAAGAACAGACAGCCATACTAGTGAGACTTTGGATAATTTAGATTGTAAGTTACACATTTTTGAAAAGTAAAGAATTTTTTTTTGCCCTAGGTCAAACTCACAGACAAATGAAAAAAAAAGATTGGGAAATACTGGGTAACCTCTGTCTGTCTGCCTGTAACAAATTTCTGCCATATTTTCTCAGCACTGCAATTTAAGTCATAGTTTCTTTTAAAATAAATGGAACTAAAAATGATGAATTTCATGGAAACGAGACTTACATGTGCTTCTGGCATAAGCTATTGTTTAATTTTGTAATAAGGTTAATAAAAATTACACAGACAAGACATATCTTTTGTTATCAAACAGTTTATTATTTAAATTGGCCCTTATTGGGTTTTGTTGCATTTTAGTCCTGTATATGTTTGCAAGGGCCAGGCCAGGGTTTTTTAATTTGTTGGTTTACATATTTTTAATGTAAAATATTGAGTGGGTTGGTAGAAAACAAAAGTGAAGTTCAAAGACATAAATGTGTATAGCTTTATTGTGTATTTCAATTTAAATGCAATAAGCTTAAATTCTGTTTTTTTATGTAATCATTCCATACAATGTATATCATCATCACAGACAAAACACCAGATGATAGTGGGAGCTAAATTTATGCATTATGAAATGAATGGAATAACAATACTAATGGATTTGAAAGTACTTTTTCCAAAAAAAAAAAACAGCCTTCCTTCCTCTCACACATAAAATGCATATCGTAAATAAAATTGAGAATGGAAATGGGAAATGTGTCAAAGAGACAACAACCCGACCAAAGAGCAGAAAACAGCCTAAGGCAACCAATGGGTCTTCAACACAGCAAGAAAATCCCGCACCTGGAGGCGGGCCTCAGCTGGCCCCTAAACAAAATGTTTACTAGTACAGTGAAAATGGACGTCATACTAAATTCCAAAACATATAATTGAACTGAAATTAAAAATCATACAAGACTAACAAAGGCCAGAGGCTCCTGACTTGGGACAGGTGCAAAAATGCGGCAGGGTTAAACATGTTTTGTGATGTCTCAACCCTAAATCCCTATACCTCTAGCCAATGTAGAAAAAACAAACACACAGCAATATGCACAGTAATAATTGGTGCCTACATGAATTTTCCTCAAATAAACTTCTACTTTAATATTTCAAATATTATGTTTTTAGTAAGAACAAAGGTTGTCATACAGAATCACATAAACACAGGCATAAGAATGGATAAAACAGTTGCTTTTCTAGAGGCCACAAGAAAATTGGAAAGAGAACAATTCCTTGTCATTACTGGAAATTTTGGGTGTGGAAAAAAATCTATGGTTAAGGAATTATTGTACAATTACACTCATGAAGAGATAGCAGATAACCATTTGAATCCTGTGATAATTTCATCACCCGAGCAATGGAATTCATGTATACATATACATCCAAACGATAAATCTATCATTTGGTTAGAAGGTATGTTTGGATCCAGTGGTACATTCAACAAACATACATTTTCAAAAAACTGGGAATGCCCTTTGTCAAATATGTTAGAATACATAAAACGTTCTCGTTTAATATTAATTGTAACAACAATGCCGAACAGCATTTGGAATGAACATAAAAATTCTCTCAGAGATTTTCCATTTTTTAAAGACTTTGAAAGATTCAGATTTGATATGGAAAAAGAATTTACTTTTGATGAAAATGAGCGATATCTTATGATAAATGAGTACTTTAAATATGCATTGAAAGAAGATTTAACTAAGGTACAAATATGCTTAGATTATAGGGATGAAGACCTTGAATCGGAAAACCCAAGAATATCTGCCAGAACTCTCAGGCATGTTTCACGAATATATACACCTGTAGGATTCATTGAGTGTTGTTACAAATTTGTATGTAATGACCATTATTTTAGAAGGGGTGTTGATTTTTTTCACCACCCACTAGAGCTTTTTATCGACAAAGTGACATATTTGCAAAAGCAAATGGAAGATCAAGAAGGAAAAAAGTACCACTTTTATTTGCTGTTATTAATTCTAAGTCAGGATGGAAAGGTTTTTATTGAACATGTTGAAAACATTTTAAGGAATGAAGAAAACTTGATATTCAAAGAACTTGCCAAAATTTGTTCAATAAAAGAATCTCAAAGTTCTGAAATTTTTAATCATTTAGCAAATTTCACCATTAAAGGGTATAATGGTATTTATTTCAAATACAATGAAGAAGAGAATTCGTGTGAATTTGTCCATAAAGCATTTGGTGATGCAGTCTGTTTGACACTTGGATTAAACACTGTCTCACTTGAAGGTTTATCACTTGCTTTGCATAAATGTAGTAGTAAATTTCTTATAGAATATGTGCGTGTTGGAAAATCAAATCGTAATAGAGGAACTGCTACAGTACATGGAAATCATATTAACAATCAAAATAGAGATTTATGTTTACATATTTATCCAAAACATTTTCAAATCTTATTGGAAAGATTTATTAAGGAGATAAAAGATGGAAATATTGACAATGTAGCAACACACGAAGCATTAGATGATAAGGCCTTTGTTGACTTCATTGAACAGCATCTCATCACTAATAAATTTGATAGTTATGTAGAATTATTACAGAAAGAAAAATCCCAGTTTTATGGATTCTTATGGTACTTATTTCATCAGGAAAAACCAAAATTAAGACTTGCAAGCCATATATTAATGCATCCACCTATTAAAGATTCAGCAAGAGAAATAGAATGGTGGTTTTGTACAAGAGAAAAATGCATGTGGGCTGCTTGTCATCTTGGAAACAATGAATCACTGCATCTACTTAAAGATCATGTGGAAATTTCTAATAAACACATTATTGTGGCAATCAGGGCTCATGGTGAGGATTCTGAATTTGTCGGAAAATTATACGGATATAAAAATGACCAACAACTCAAGAGAGAAAAGGAAGAACTTGATCAGTGTCATAGAGAAGAAGAACTGCGAATAAAAAATAAGTCTAGCTGTAGTATTCTTTAATGACTGTCTGTCATAAATCATTTCATTTTGTCAAAATGTGTTTACTTCCGGAGTTATCTTCCTTTATCATGTTTATGTATGGGAACACAACAGTTTTTTTTTAAACAAGTCAGTCTTTTATTTAAAATGTTACCAGAATTGATTTTATTTTGGCCTTTAATACTATTTGTTTAGACAACAAGAAATTATAATATGGATAAGTGCTCATTACAACATATAAATTAAATGACTTCCTAAAAACTGCATGAAAACAAAAGCCATATAAGTGAAAAATAATGCCCTGTATTGGTTCCCGGTATATTGAACCACCGACCTTCGGTAGGAAATCTGACAATCCTAGTAAATTAAGATTGGAGTCGAGTGTGGGATTCGAACTCACAACCTCAGTGTTGACTGGCTAGTGATGCAGTAGTTCGACTACTTAGACCACCCTGCCACTGAAGCCCCTTAAATGTATTGGTATAAAGATTTGACATAATTATGTGCCAGCAAAATAAATCAAACATCTGAAAACTGCTAAATTTGTGTGTCATATGATTGTATTTTTGAATAATAATGAATTTAAAAGATTTTGTAATTTGATTTATTTTATTTTATAGCAATTGACCTTTAGCTGAGAGTGTAGATCTGGATGGGGATCCTTAATTTCCGTATTCTATAAAGTTTTAAGTCATTTTTCCTTATCTTTTAAATAGCGCTTATTCTGTAAAATTCTCATGAATTTTCAAAATGATTTTACTATTATTTTTTTCAACAATTGTTTGATTTTTTTTGTTCATTTTTCTCTATTCATTATATCATTTGGTTATTCTCTTTTCTGTAAACCCCATACAGACCTATTGCCTGAGCCTATCCAACATGTAAGATATAGAAATGTTTAGGAATTACATTTATTAAAGAACAATGAATATGATGTTGACTGACTGTATTATAGAAAGTCACTTTACCATGTTTGCAAAGTTTAGGGCCGATCAAGTAGAAGAGCTTTTAATAATGTTTTATAGACACTTGTAATTGGGGTTAAGCCAATCTGATCTCATGATTCTTATGAGATATATATATTTTGAAGTGATCCATATCTGTAGTATCCCCTATTTTGACAAATTTATTAAACTTTTAGTAGCAAATATTTTATGTATAAGGTGCATATTTAGGAAGATAGAAAATCAAACAAGAAAATGATTAGGTGGCTGTGGAGCAGAAGGATAGGTAGATAATTTGGATAACTAGCTATATATATAGAGAGAGGGAGGCCAGTAAATGATAAAAAAAAAGTGTTGGAAGGAAACTAAGATGAAATTAAGTTTGAATATTAATTTTTGTATAATATTTCTAAAAACTGTGAAGTACTGTGTATTGATGGATTTTTGATTGATTGGTGTCCAGTGGCAAGTCTTTCTAGTGTTAAAATACTTTGTATTCAAGTACTGACATGACTAATTTTCAAGGCTTAATGCTAAAACAAGTGAAATGATATTATACTTCCTGTACTCTTTTTAGTTTTATAGTAGTCAAAGAACAAATTAGTGGAAGATGGATGTCCAGCAATCATAAAACTGTCAAAAGCAATATCCAAAAATAAAAAAATAAAATTTTATTGTATTTGACCTTTAAAGTATTTGATATAGGTTCCTAAAAAGATTTTTTTCGTTTGAAGTAGTTTATAATGGCTAAAAGTAGGTAATGTTTTTAAAAGGGAAGAATAGTATTGGTATATATGAACTTTGTAACATGAGACTTAACGTAAAACAGATGTATCAATTGTATCATGAAACAACTGTATTTTTTATATGGCAGCTAGGATTCATAAAACAGATATATGTTTTAACATTAGGCTGACTGATTATTGTTTACTTGATTTCAAATGGCAAAATTTTCAGGGAATCATCTTGGATGAAATACATGAAATTAAGTTTGAATTTGCTCATTGTTGAAGGCCGTACGGTGACCTATAGTTGTTTATTTCTGTGTCATTTGGTCTCTTAAGTTGTCTCATTGGCAATCATACTACATCTTCTTATTTTTTTATATATATATATATATATACATGTATTTATAACAAAAATATTTGTATCATGCAGATTTGCTGTAAATTTAAATTGTATTGAATGTGTAAACATTTTGATCAACAGTTTATGTAAATTCAGAAATTTGCATTGTTTTTATTATTGCAAAAACTAGGCATGATAGCTGGTTTCTCAAAAATTAAAAAAAACACATTTTCAAATTTTGAAAGTATAATTTGTATGCCCCTCTGACTATGCAGCATTTCATTATATTATTGTCGAGCCTTCGACTTTAGTCGAAAAAGCGAGACATAGCGATCCTACATTCCGTCGGCGTCGTTGTCGTCGTCGGTGGCGTCCACAAATATTCACTCTGTGGTTAAAGTTTTTGAAATTTTAATAACTTTCTTAAACTATCCTGAATTTCTACCAAACTTGGACAGAAGCTTGTTTATGATCATAAGATAGTATCCAGAAGTATATTTTGTAAAAATAAAATTCCTGTTTTTCCGTATTTTACTTGTAAATGGACTTAGTTTTTCTGCCAGGAAACATTACATTCACTCTGTGGTTAAAGTTTTTAAAATTTTAATAACTTTCTTAAACTATCATGGATTTGTACCAAACTTGGACAGAAGCTTGTTTATGATCATAAGATAGTATCCAGAAGTAAATTTGTTAAAAAAGAAAAATCATTTTTTCCGTATTTTACTTATAAATGGACTTAGTTTTTCTGCCAGGAAATAATACATTCACTTTGTGGTTAAAGTTTTTAAGATTTTAATAATTTTCTTAAACTATCCTGGATTTGTACCAAACTTGGACAGAAGCTTGTTTATGATCAAAAGCTAGTATCTAGAAGGAAATTTTGTTAAAATTTTGTACCTGTTTATCCGTATTTTACTTATAAATGGACTTAGTTTTTCTTCCAGTTAACATTAAATACAGTCTGCAGTTAAAGTTTTTAAAACAATTATTAGATTCATACATTTATTAGATTCATAAACTATCCTGGATTTATACCAAATTTTGACAGAAGCGTCTTACAATCAAAAGATAGTATCTAAAGGAATATTTTTATTGATTTTTTTCCTCATTTTTGTTGAGCCTGGGATTAACAGCAAAAGTAGGCGAGACACTGGGTTCCGTGGAACCTATACGAATTTTTATAATAATCTCACATATTTTTCAATTGTTTAACCGTCACAATAATAAATGAACGCAAATATTTATGATTTACAGTACTCAATCTGGTGTTAGGGGTCATCTTTAACTTGCAGTGAGATACATCAGTTAGCTTTTGCTCTATGTTGAAAGAGTCACTTTGTTTCTAAGATTTTTATATTTTATATAATTTTTCATGTACGACAAATATTCAAAAAAATTAAGAAAGGTGGACACAAATAATAAACAGACAATTTACCTGTTATTAGGCCCATTAGGGTACAATTGAAATTCATGTAGAATTGTGATGAAGGGAAATAACTTGATGTATCAGAAAATAAGAAGTTAAATTGCCATAATCGCACAATCCCAAAATGTTGATTAAGGATTTTTTTGTTTAATTTTTCTAGGGGGACAGCTTTAATACATGAATGTATTCTCAATATTTAATTTTTCTAGGGCACAGCTTTAATAAATGAATGTATTCTCAATATTTAATTTTTATAGGGGCACAGCTTTAATACATGAACATGATGAATGTATTCTCAATATTTAATTTTTCTAGGGCACAGCTTTAATAAATGAATGTATTCTCAATATTTAATTTTTATAGGGGCACAGCTTTTATACATGAATGTATTCTCAATATTTAATTTTATCAAACCATGCATTAGGTGTTCGCCCTTGCAATCAGTCATGCAATTAAAATAAAATCTCCCATAGAAACCACTGAACTCAAGTTCAACCAAACTTGGGCTCAATAATCCCTAGGGAACGACCATTTAACTTCAGGAGGGGAGGGGGGTTGGGTTATGGGTTTTTCCTAAAAAAATATTCTGATCTCCAATTTGATGAAAAAAAATATTGTGGTCAAGCAGATGACAAAAAAAAAAAATATTCTGAATCCAGATTTTCCCCATACCTTATAGTGTTAAATTTTTAAAATAATTTGATTGATAGCGTTTTTCGCTGAAACTGAAATAAAATATTGTGCTTTGTGCAAAATTTTTTTCCTGACTCAGACAAAAAACCATAACCCCCCCCTTGAAGTTAAATGGTATCTTGTAATAGTCACTTCTAACCAACCATGACTTGTCAAAAGACTTATTACCCTGAATTGACAATTTTTTACACATATGGGTAAATCACAAATAGTTGTCTAATACCTTGGGAAATCATAATACATGTAGATAGATATAATTTGATGGGGTAAAATGGATTGAAATAACATGATTTACCTACTTGCCATTACCATGATTACCATACTTGAAAATTGATCAGATTACTCCTTGAAAGACTAACTGCCCCTGAACGATGCTTATGAATCAATTTCAGCATTTTGCCTTTTATCTTGAAAATTATCATGAAAAAAACTATGTTCAGCAATACAAGATCTACAAAAATGCTCGTCTGTTGAATCCTGATAGACTATTAGCTCACCTGGCCCAAAGGGCCAACTGAGCTTTTCTCATCACTTGGCGTCCGTCGTCGTCGTTGTTAACTTTTTACATTTTGAACTTCTTCAAGAGAACCACTGAATGGAATAAAAACCAAACACGGCATGAATGTTCTTTATAAGGTACTGACCAAGTGTTGTTACTTTGAAGCTGATCCATCATCCAAGATGGCCGCCGGGGGGGGACTTTGTTTAACGTAGGACCCTATGGACAATACATACAAATGACTTCTTTCAGAGAACCACTGAATGGAATGAAACCAAACATGGCATGAATGTTCTTTATGAGGTGCTGACCAAGTGTTGTTACTTTGAAGCCAATCCATCATCCAAGATGGCCACCAGCGGGGGACTTCGTTTAACATAGGAGCCTATGGACAATACATACAAATGTCTTCTTTTAGAGAACCACTGAATGGAATGAGACCAAACATGGCATGAATGTTCCTTATGAGGTGTTGACCAAGTGTTGTTACTTTGTAGCCAATCCATCAACCAAGATGGCTGCCAGTGGGGGACTTCGTTTAACATAGGACACTATGGACAATACATACAAATGTCTTCTTATAGAGAACCACTGAATGGAATGAAACCAAACATGCCATGAATGTTCCTTATGAGGTGCTGACCAAGTGTTGTTACTTTGTAGCAAATCCATCAACCAAGATGGCCGCCAGCGGGGGGACTTCGTTTAACATAGGAGCCTATGGACAATACATACAAATGTCTTCTTTTAGAGAACCACTGAATGGAATGAGACCAAACATGGCATGAATGTTCCTTATGAGGTGTTGACCAAGTGTTGTTACTTTGTAGCCAATCCATCAACCAAGATGGCTGCCAGTGGGGGACTTCGTTTAACATAGGACACTATGGACAATACATACAAATGTCGTCTTATAGAGAACCACTGAATGGAATGAAACCAAACATGCCATGAATGTTCCTTATGAGGTGCTGACCAAGTGTTGTTACTTTGTAGCAAATCCATCAACCAAGATGGCCGCCAGCGGGGGGACTTCGTTTAACATAGGTCTCTATGGACAATACATACAAATGTCTTCTTTTAGAGAACCACTGAATGGAATGAAACCAAACATTGCAAGAATGTTCCTTATGAGATGCTGACCAAGTGTTGTTACTATGTAGCCAATCTATCAACCAAGATGGCTGCCAACGGGGAACTTGGTTTAACAAAGGACCCTATGGGAAATATATACAAATGTCTTCTTCTAGAAAACCGCTTAATGGATTGAAACCAAACATGGTACGAATGTTTCTTTTGAGGTGCTGACCAAGTGTTGTTACTTTGTATCTGATTTGTCATCCAAGATGGCTGCCAGCAGGGGGAGTTAGTTTAACATAGGACCCTATGGGAAATACATACAAAAGTTTTCTTCTAGAGAACCACTGAATAGAATGAAACCAAACATGGCATGAATGTTCCTAATGAGGTGCTGACCAAGTGTTGTTACTTTGTAGCCGAATCATCATCCAAGATGGCCACCAGCAGGGGACTTAGTTTAACATAACACCCTATGGGAAATACATACAAATGCTTCTGAATGGAATGAAACCAAACATGGCATAATTGTTCCTTATGAGGTACTGATGAAGTGTTGCTACTTTGTTGCTGATTTACTGTGCAAGATGGCCACCAGGATTTTTTATTAAATTACGGGGCCAATATTAAAACCAAATTTGGCCTCAATCATTATTAGGGTATCTGTTATGATTTTAATCTATTTTTACATGATTTCCAAAACCAAAGTAGAATCAGGTGAGCGACACAGGCTCTTGAGAGCCTCTAGTTATCCTTAGATATGTTTTTTTTTACCAAAATTATTATCAGGTACCATACTTTGAAAACTATAATTGGTAGACGAACTTTAAACAGCAAAAATGATGAAAAAAAAAATTCAAATGGAATTAAACCAATCAATCTGCTCCTTGTACTCTAAAGACACCTTTTACCAATTTAAATGTTGTTGCATTTTATTTTGAAAAATTGAAACTTTTTGACAGGATCTACAAGTGACAAGACTGAAACTGTCAATTTACTATTCATAATTGGAGTTATTGCCCTTTAATGAGGATTATTTCAACTTTTGACATTTTTTCATATTCTTCTGAAAAAAATAATTTAAAAAATGTAAGCAGCAAAAATGAAAAACAAATTGGTATCTACTAATAATTTCATAAATAATCTAATGAAAATTTAATATATTTTAATCATCAAAATGGCGTATTTCTTTACTGGTGATAAAAAAAATAAAGTAAATTTGCCAATTCTGTAATTTACCGTGTAATTAGAGATCCATTTTTTAACAAACTGGAATCCTTTATAATTTTATTGCTTCGTTTGAACTCAAGTGTAGTATTCAGCTGAGAACCAGCTTATTTTTATACGACCGCAAAAAAAAATTTGCGTTCGTATAATGGTATCATGTCGTCTTTAGAAGACACATTTAGTTTCAGGACAATAACTTTAGTTTAAGTGAATGGATCTCTATGAAATTTTACCAGAAGGTTCAATACCACAAAAGAAAGGTTGGGATTGATTTTGGGGGTTATAGTACCAACAGTTTAGAAATTAGGGGTCAAAAAGGGGCCAAAAACAAGCATTTTTGTAGTTTCAGGACAATAACTTGTGTGTTAGTGTATTAATCTCTCTGAAATTTTTTTCATACTTTTTGGATTTTTTTTCCAAAAATTTTCCATTTTTACATTATTACAGATTATTTCTGATTTATATATAAAAGCAACAAATACTGATATGGCTGGAGATACACACCAAACAGGGTGTGTAAATTATTATATATAACAGATTAACAGTATTGCGCAAAAACAAGAAATCTTCAATTGCACAGTATTGCGCAATAGCACAGTATTGCGCAATAGCACAGTATTGCGCAATAGCACAGTATTGCGCAATAGCACATTATGCGCAATAGCAAGAAATCTTCAAATCTTTTAAATTGGTCTACATTGAGGTCCAAAGGGTCCAAAATTAAACTTTTTGATTTCATCAAAAACTGGATTATTGAGGGTCTATGATATGCTGAATCTTATTGTGCATTTAGATTTATTATTTTGGGCCCTGTTTTCACATTAGTCCATATTAAGGTTTGAAGGGTCCAAAATTTAACTTTGTTTGATTTCAACTAAAATGAATTTTTTGGTGTTTTTAAATGTGCTGAATATAACCATGTTGTTAGATTTTGGATATCAGACTGTACTAGGTAAATAAAAAGTCCCATTTCAAATTTTTAAGATCTTTGACCACATTTATTTTGTGTCAGAAACCTATCTTATGTCAAAAATTTGATCACAATCCAAATTCAGACAGTATCAAGCTTGAAAATTGTGTCCAAACTTGCCCCAACTGTTCAGGGTTCGATCTCTGCGGGAATCAGGCTGCGCTCGGCGAAGCATTTTATTTTTAGTTGCTTCCCTTAGGACTGATAAAATTTTTCATTGACAATGAAGAGCTTGCAGAAATACCAAATTTATCTGTGCGTAATGTGTGCAATCTAAGTTTTTTCAAATCTTTTCATTCCATTTAATCATTTGCTAAGCTACAAACTTTTGATTATTAAATATTAGTTAAAACACCTATATATTACTTTCAACTTATTATGCTTTACATGGGCAGCATCCCATTTTATCCAGTATAGAACCAGTCTATAATTCACCAAGGGACACAATCTGTGTTAAAAGTGTGTAATAACAGACTCAAAGTGGTATTGGCAAATAGACTATTTAATCAAAAAGGAACCTTTCATTTGGTCTTTGTACATATGAGCATGTATTCTATGATGTGCAATATTATTATTTTATACACATTTTTATTTTATCGTTATACTTTATACATAAAGATCTGATTTTATAAAAAATAAAATTTTAAAATATTTAATATCTTATTGTTTTGTCAATGATTGGTTATTGGTTTTGGGTTGTACAGCGGGCTGGCAGCTCATGCTTTAACCTGATAACCTTTGAACTGATGCTTTCCAAATTTTAATATATTGTTACTGATAAAACAAGAGTGCACACGCTGAAATGTCTCGCCTGCTTAAAGCTGACCATTGACTTTAAGTTGAAAGTCTTAAAGATAAAGGTTTAACTACAAGCATCACATAGACTTTACATTTTTTAAGATCCATGACAATGAGGTCAAGGTCAGACAAATCCTATCAGACAGACATGTAAACCTTACAATTATTCCATACACCAAATATAGTTGACCCATTGCCTATGGTAACTGAAAACAGATTAAAACACAAAAAGTAAAGATTGACCAATGAAATATGAAAATGAGGTCAAGGTCAGATAAATTCTATCAGACAAACATGTACACCTTACAATTATTCCATACACCAAATATAGTTGACCTTTTGCTTATGGTAACTGAAAACAGATTAAACCACAAAAAATAAAGATTGACCAATGAACCATGAAAATGAGGTCAAGGTCAGATGATACCTGCCAGACAAACATGTACACCTTATAATCATTCCATGCAGCAAATATAGTTGACCTACTGCTTGAAGTATTTGAAAACAGACCAAAACACAAAAACTTAACATTGGCCTGTGAACCATGAAAATGAGGTCAAGGTCATATGACACCTGTCAGAGAGACATGTAAACCTTACAATCATTCCATATACCAAATAGAGTTGACCTACTGCTAAAAATATTTAAAAAACAGACCAAAACACAAAGACGTAACATTAACAAATGAACCATGAAAATGAGGTGAAGGTCAGATGAAACCTGCCAGACTGACATGTATCCCTTAAAATCATTCCATACACCACATATAGTTGACCTACTGCTTATATCTGAGAAAAGGACCTTATCATGTAACTTTAACCTTGATCACTGATCCATGTAATGAGATCGAGGTCAGGTGAACCCTGTCTGACTGACATGTAGACATGCAAGGAACCCATATACAAAATATAGTAATCCCATTACTCATAATAAGTGAAATTCACATGAAAAAAAAATATAAATTTTTTTCAAGCAGTCGCTGAACCATGAAAATGAATCGAGGACAATGGACATTGGACAGATTGAAACTTCAGAACATAAGGTATCTGCATACAAGGTATGAAGCATCCAGGTATTCTACCTTCTGAAATATAAAGCTTTATACAAATAGTTGATGCTGTTGCCAGATGGCAATACCTATGTCTCACATACTGCAACGAAAAAGGCGAGACAAGAAATGGAGGTCAAGATTGACAATATTGATTTTTACTTTCAGGAGTTCTGGTCCTTGATTGATTGGAAAGTGGTTAAAAAAAATTTACTTCCTGTCATTTTTTTGCAATAACATGAGAACAGTTCAATAGATGCATGGTAAATTTTAAAGGTCAAGTTCCATAATGAGGTTTTCCCTATCTACATTCTGGAGTTATGGTCCTGGATTGTTTGGCATATATTCTGGTGATTTCAATTGTGAGTTGTTCAAGCAATTCAAACTGTGGATGGACATATAATGGTTACTTCACAATTTGGAAAACTGGGTTTGCTGTTCAATTTGACAGCACTTGTCCCCTGCCATTTGCATTTTTGCTTCAAAATTAAATATATTCCCCTCTGAAACAATCCACCAATTTGATGTTAAAACCTCCTAATTGTGTTCAAATTTTAGTTTGTGAATAATATTATGGTACTGCTATATTGAAATCACCCGTAGTTATTTATTTATTTTTTTCAAATTCAACTTTCTTGGAACCATGCGATTTGTGTATCATGCAAATATATCAAAGTTAAATAGACAATAGCTACAGAGATTCCGAAAGTAGTTTCAGCAAAATGGTACCAGTCTATCAAAGTGTAAACCAAGGAAAAAATTTAATGTACCAATCTTTTCAAGTATTTGAAGATCTGTAAATGATGTAAGAATTTACTTCCATGAAATGATACTTTTATGTTGTATTACCCAACACCATACAATAATAACGTACAAAGGGTCATTGCATTTCAGTTATTGCAGAACCTATTCCCCCACACCATAGAATAATAACGTACAAAGGGTCCGGGCATTTCAGTTATTGCAGAACCTATTCCCCCACACCATAGAATAATAACGTACAAAGGGTCGGGGCATTTTCAGTTATTGCAGAACCTATTCCCCCATACCATAGAATAATAACATACAAAGGGTTGGGACATTTTCAGTTATTGCAGAACCTATTCCCCCACACCATACAATTATAACATACAAAGGGTTGGGACATTTTCAGTTATTGCAGAACCTATTCCCCCACACCATACAATAATAACGTACAAAGGGTCGGGGCATTTCAGTTATTGCAGAACCTATTCCCCCACACCATACAATTACAACATACGATGGGTCAGGGCACTTTCAGTTATTGCAGAACCTTTTCCCCCACACCATAGAATAATAACGTACAAAGGGTTGGGAAATTTTCAGTTATTGCAGAACCTATTCCCCCACACCATACAAATATAACGTACAAAGGGTCAGGGCATTTCAGTTATTACAGAACCTATTCCCCCCACACCATAGAATTATAACATACAAAGGGTCAGGGCATTTCAGTTATTACAGAACCTATTCCCCCCACACCATACAATTATAACATACAAAGGGTCGGGGCATTTCAGTTATTGCAGAACCTAATCCCCCACACCATACAATTATAACGTACAAAGGGTCGGGGCATTTTCAGTTATAGCAGAACCTACTCCCCCCACACTATACAATTATAACATACAAAGGGTCGGGGCATTTTCAGTTATTGCAGAACCTAATCCCCCACACCATACAATTATAACGTACAAAGGGTCGGGCCTTTTCAGTTATTGCAGAACCTATTCCCCCCACACCATACAATTATAACATACAAAGGGTCGGGACATTTTCAGTTATTGCAGAATCTATTCCCCCCACACCATACAATTATAACATACAAAGGTTTGAGGCATTTTCAGTTATTGCAGAATCTATTCCCCCCACACCATACAATTATAACATACAAAGGGTCAGGGCATTTCAGTTATTGCAGAACCTATTCCCCCACACCATACAATTATAATGTACAAAGGGTCTGGGCATTTTCAGTTATTACAGAACCTATTCCCCCACACCATAGAACTATAATGTACAAAGCGTCAGGGCATTTTCAGTTATTACAGAACCTAACTATTGTAATGATTCTTTTTGGTTTTGTCCTGAATATGCACAAAATATTTGCAACTGGACATTAAACAAGCAACAAATAAATTAATCGATTCCCAGCTCCATCTTAATTTCCACTTCAAGTTTTTTGCCAATTTCTTGATATGTGACCCATTTGTAGTAGTTTGTATGTTTGTATTCATCCAATTTTATCATAGTTCATTTGGCAGACTACTTAAAAAGCTGATTTACAAATGTTTGTATGCATTACTCCTTACACATAGGATACCACTTCAGTTTACTTGAGTGCAAACCTTAACAACTGAATACTACAAACTGTTGGTACCTATGAAAACAACTATTAACTAGTCATGGAATCACTACACAGAAAATTAACACATCAAATTGTACATATTTTATTTGATAAAACAAAAAAAATACATATTGCACACATGTGACCAGCACAAAAATTATATCATGTGACCAAATAGATCGTCACATGGTATCACAGAGAGTTTACCCAACATTATACAATACTACAGAATAGCATATTCAGCAAAAATATTTATGCTTGATAAATAATACTAGCACTTAATACATAACAGCAACATTTGTTTCAAAGGCCACAAATGAGGATCTGGAGGGGTTTTACAGAAAAGAGAATATTGGGCAAAAGGGCAAAAATAATGTACCCAAAAATTAAAGAACAGACCAAAAAACTAAAGAATGGAGAATAATTGGGTTCTTATTGTTAACCAAATGAAAGTTTTCCACAGAGTCATCTGCCCTTGGTCAAGGTATTTAAACTTTTGTCTGTTCTATTGTCCCATTGAATAAATACAATAGCTACTTTTCTCTGTGTAGTTTCACAGTAGGTATAGTGTTTGGCTAGGATCGTGGTTAGTGATTTGATCAGGGTTTTTCGAGTGTGGCCACTTTTTTTCGAGTGAATATGATCAAAAATGTAAACATACAGACTTCCTTTCTGACAAAATGTGATATAGAAGCTTGAGTTTAATATACAAGGTTATACAAGGTATGTAAGTATTTGAGATAAAAATATATTATCAATCTGACATTATTTTTCGTTAAAAAAAGTTAAATTTAGCCTTACAATGCTTTTATTCCAAAATACAGAATAAAGCCATTTTTATACACATTCCAATGCAAATGTCAAAGGAAATGCATACACGCAATCCATATATCCTTAGATATACAGACACTTTACAAAAATTCTTGTTATTGCATTGAGAACGACATTTTGAGACTAAATTCATTTCTATATGTCCAGGTTTTTTCGAGAGCAGTTCTGGTTTTTTCCAGTGCGTCCAGGTTTTATCGAGTGATTAAACAAATTTCCTATAGCTTAAAATGTTATGTGTCAGTGTATTTACGTTTAAAAACAATAAAAAAAGGTTCAAATTAAGTCCTTTTCAAGACATGAAACCAATGCATTCATCAGTTTGATAATGGTGTACTAACACTTACATTTTATAAACAAGTATCATTCATTTGTATATATTGTTCTTTGTCACATCTTATAAATTTCATGTACAGTATATATTCGTGATGACAACAATCTAATGTAAGCATAGACAATTTGGATTGAGATGTACATATATAAAGTGTGTTAAGCTGATGAACTATTCATTTCATTGTTAGTTATATATGAAATTTAATTCAAATTTTATTGTCAATGGGAAAAAAAATGGGGTGGATTAAGTGTGTGTGTGTTTTTTTTTTTTATCAATGGAT